AGGGGTTTAAGTGCTTGCCATGGTAATGTGGGAGACTAAGGCAAACGAAAAACTGAATTCCCTTACTGTCTACAGCCCACTGACAAGTCCTTGAAACCAGCAGAGTAACCTCCCTCTAGGAGCTCAGCTGCCTTGATAATGTGACTTTGTTAGGGGCAAAAGAAAACCTTAGCTTAACATTACCCCAACCTCAAGGATCCCATAAATCAACTTCCTTTATCTCAATTGCCCCAAGATATATGCTGGCAATCATGTTCCAAGCTTATGGCCCCCGGATATGCATTTCATATGATGAAGAGTCTCATGACCCTTCATGAGGTTTTATTAAACAGTGATAAATGGTGTTTCCTTAGCAACAGCTAGCCCCTCAAGGTCCTGGAAACCTTGCTTCCAAAATTCCTTAGAGACTTACTCTACCCCTGACCCCCTCCCAACCTGAGGGTATAATGAGTTTCCCATCAAGACCCCAGTGCAGTTCTTCCTGCCCATGGGTTCTGTTCCCATGCTTTAATAATAAAATCACCTTTTTGCACCAAAAACATCTTCAAGGATTATTTCATGGCCGTTAGCTCTGGACCCCACAAATCCCCCATCACCCCAAAAACTTCATCAGTTATGACCCCAGCCAAAATCAAGAGTCAGATGCCCAACCAACTGAGCTGTCCAAGCACCCCAGATTAGTATGTCTCTTAAAGGATCTCTGTTCCGGAGTGCCTGAGTGACTAAGTCTGTTGGGCATCCAACTCGATTTTGGCTCTGTTCGTGGGATAGAGCCTTAGTCAGTCTCCACGATGTGTGTGGAGCCTGCTTGGGATTCACTCTCTTTCCCTCTACCCCTCTACTTTCTCCCCACTCACCATCTCTCTCTAAAATTAAATAAATAAATAAATAAATAAATAAATAAATAAATAAATAAATAAATAAGAGCTCTGTTCTGACTGGCTTATTGAGATAAATACATACTTACATAAATCAAATATTCCTAAAACTACCCAAAAATAATGAAATTAAACTTCCAATACTTTAAATGTGTAGGAATTTTAAAAACCCTTCTTAGAAAATTCTAGTATAGAAAGAAGCCAGGATCAAATAATTAAAGCAAGTCTTTGGTAAATGATATTCTTTTAACGTTTGGTTAAAAAAAAAAAAAAAAAAAACCCATACAGCTATGTCTTTTCTCCGGGTAAACTATAATACAAATGTGTATTTATTTTAATTGAGTTTGCTTCCTTACTGAGAGATCAATGCAAACTGCCTAAATTTATTCACTTAATGATGTAAAACCTAATGTTATTCTGACATGGTTTAGGAACATGAAAACCGTAAATTTGTTCAACAAAAATGAATCATTAATTGACAGACTTTTTATATTAAGAGTATGTTTCATAATATATTGACCTAAAACTAGTTTGTGTTCTGTAAGTAGCTGAAAATTTTGTACTAAGTTGAGCTAATTAATGGTAATTCTTGGATGTCTAGATATATTCTAAGCATCATTTTAAGTTTATATAGCTTTGCTTCTTTTAAAAAATATACTATAGACAGGCTGCATCTCGGAGTCAGATTAATAAACGTGCTCATTTTTGTCACTTAGAAAAAGGTATATAAAGGCTGTAGTGGCTGTAGAAAGTTGTGTTCTATATACTTAGGAGTTTGGTTAGTCTCCCAGGATGCGTGAATATGACCACTCCCAATTATTCACCTTCTCGTAGATGGAGGACAGAGCTAGACACGCAGAGAGTAACTGTGCGCTAGTGTCAATCCCCGAAGAGAACGCGAAGTCAACATAGCGAGCAGTAACATAATGAAGTATTGCTACGCGTGCTGAATTTCCAAAGGTAGTGTGCGGACCCACGCTCCCTCCGCCCCGCCCCTTGCCGCGCTGACACCGTTTTCCGGCAAGCTTCAGTTTCCTCCGTCTCTCCTTTTTCCGGTGCCACACGTCATCATTCTCGCTTCCCGGTAGCTAAGGCGATGAGAGGGACTTCCCAGTTGGGCGGGCGGAAGTCATGTTGGATCAGGGCGAATCCCTGAGGCGTGCCGGCTGCACCTAGGAAACAGTCGCGCAGGCACCTGAGTTTTCTGAAGCGCAAACATTTAGGGGTGAACGTGGAGGAACGTAGGATCTGAGGAGCGGTGGTTTTGTGGCCTGAGAACAACGGGCTTGCCCCATTCCAAGATGGCGGCGTGGCTTCACTGAGCGTCTTGCTTCCGCTTCTCCGCCGGGGGAGGCCCTCTTTGATTGGCCAGAGGACGGCGCTGTGGCGTGACGCACAGGGTCGCTGACCAGTCGTCTGAGAGCTGAGCTGGACTTGGCGGTGGGAGCCGGAGCGGGGCCCTAGCAGCTGTGGGTGCGGACGCGGCCAGGTGAACTGCTCCTGCCAGGTGAGTGGGCGCGCAGGTGATGGGGGGCCGAGGGCACGGACTGGAGTCTCTGTAGGGACCGAATGGGTTGCTCCTGGGGCGAAGCCTCTTCTCGGCGGCTTGGCGGGCAGAGGAATTTAAGGACTCAGTGACCCAGGGGTCTGCTGAAGAGTGACGCGTTCCTCGTCAGGCGGTGCGGCCGGCCGGCTTCTGGCTCGGGAACCCTAGGAATCGCGGGGTGCGGAAGGATTCAGGTTTCTTTTTAGAGTTGAGTAACCTGAAATGGGATGAATGACTTCTGCCTCGTGACAGCTGGAACTAGGATCCGGGGCTACGGACTACGCTTGAAGCATTAAACTGTGCTTAAACTTGGCTACCGTGTCCTGAGAAGTTATGATTTGATGGAATGACCGGTTCAGTTTTTGGCGTGTGTGTATTTTTGGCAGACACTCCTACAGAACCTTTAAAGTTCTTTTCATTCATTCATTAACTCATCCATGCATCTATTAGCCTCTTCAGAAACTCCTCCCCTGTGAGAATATGATGTGAGTCAAAGATCGACCGCCCTAGAAAAATGTACATTCGCTCATGCACACAATTTTGCATACAGCTTCAGAAGATTTATTGACGCTCTGAAGTGCCCCGTTGGTTTTGTGCCCAGATTTAAGAATCCATGTTCTAGAAGAGGCGACAGGAAGAGACAGTGGGAAACGGAAAGAGCAGGTTTTAATATGTAGCTGCTTGGGGACATTGGATGGAGCCAGTATCTTTCATTAATGTTTTGAGTGGGTACCAGTCAGTGAATGAAACCTGCTGAGGTACTTGTTGAGAATTGTGATATTAGAACTTGCGTTTATTCCCACCTGAGTTATCCCTTTGCCACTTCGTAGCTGCAGAAGGGCCTCCTATGTAAAGGGTGCTTCAGTTTCCCGCCTTTGTCAGAAATAACAAGTAGATGCTTTAGAGTGTCAGTTGGAGCAAACATTTAGAATTTTTGTGGTCTGGGTTGCGTGTAGTGGGCTAATTCCTTCATTTGCTTTTCTAGCCGCATAAAATCATTCCCTGGGTGGCTACGTCGGTTAAGCATTCAACTCTTGATTTCAGCTCAGGTTGTGGCCTCACGGTTGTGAGATTGAGCCCGTGTCATGGAGCCTGCTTAAGATTCTCTCTCTCTTGCGGCACCTGGGTGGCTTAATTGGTTAAGCATCCGACTTTGGCTCGGGTTAATGATCTCCTGGTTTGTGAGTTCAAGCCCCCTGCATTGGGCTCTCTGCTGTCAGTGCAGAGCCCCCTTTGGATTCTCTGTCTCCCTCTCTCTCTGCCCTTCTCCTGCAGGAGCTCTCTCAATCTCTCTCTCTAAAATAAGTAATAAACATTAAAAAAAAAGATTCTCTCTCTCTCCCACCCTTTGCCCCCCACCCTCAAAAAATCATTCTCTTAGTCCGTATTATTTACAGTATGGCACTTCTCATAATAACACTTATTATTGGAGACACTTATTATTCAGCACCTCAGGAAGTGAGCACTAGAGGCCACTAATAACATAGATTCTTTAATTTGCCTGTTTTTCCCTTTTTCTTGAGGGTCTTGTTCCCGTGAACCCTAGGTGGCTGAGATATGTGTTAGCCTTAGCCTAGACTTTAGAATGCAAATAGGGTGTATGAAACACTCAATGGAGTTGGCATTGTCTGGGTTTGAAAAGCTTAGTCTAAATGGTTGTTTTATCAACCAGAATTTTTCGAGGCATGAACATAAGCAACCCTGGTGAAAAGGTCCTGGTGAAGGAGTCGCCCAGCACGATAGCAAATTTAGCATTATAATTTTGGTGATTCCAAGTAGAAGTATTTTTGCTAGGAACTGGTGGTGGCTCTCATTACAAATTGGACTCACAACGTCAGCATCCAGTTCTTGTCTCCCCAGGTAACAGAGGAGGGGAAAGGGCACAAAAACAAGATCACTTGGAAAGTAGAATTTAATGCAGTGTTTGCTTTAATAAAGCAAGGAAGGGAGGGGATCAGGGAGGAAGGTAGGTGGATGCTGAAACAGGGCTTGAGACTGACTCTTGGGGAAGGGGAATTAGAACTGGCTTGGTTGAAATGTTGTATGATCTATGAGGAGGTTTACATTAGTATTATTCAACTACTTGCAGCCTGGAAATGATCAAATGATTGTAAACCCCCCACATCTTTCCATTTATTTAAGTGCTAGAGAGGAGAGTTGAGAAAGGAATAGTAGGCAAAGAGAACTGTGAAGTTAATTGGCTTTGGGAGTCAAAGGGAAGAGAGATGTTGTCATCCTCCAGTGACCAGTTCTTCTAGACTAAGTGTTTAATTTTTTTTTAATCTTTATTTATTTTTGAGAGAGAGACAGTGCGAGCAGGGGAGGAACAGAGAGAGAGGGAGACACAGAATCTGAAGCAGGCTCCAGGCTCCGAGCTGTTAGCACAGAGCCCAATGCGGGGCTGCAGCTCACAAACCATGAGATCATGACCTGAGCCGAAGTTGGCCGCTTAGCGGACTGAGTCACCCAGACTAAGTGTTTGAAGAACACTGTTGGGTGACCATCTTCTTTTTTGAAGTTTAGTTGAGAAATTCACATAAAATTAAAAAGCCTCACCTATAGTTTCTTTTTAGACTATGGCAACATATTTGGAGTTCATTCAGCAGAATGAAGAACGAGATGGTGTGCGCTTTAGTTGGAATGTGTGGCCTTCCAGCCGCCTCGAGGCTACAAGAATGGTTGTTCCCCTGGCTTGTCTCCTCACTCCTTTGAAAGAACGTCCAGACCTGCCTCCGGTACAATATGAACCTGTGCTCTGCAGCCGGCCAACTTGCAAAGCCATTCTCAATCCACTTTGGTATGAATTCTTTTTAAAACTAGTAAAAAGGAAGAATGCAGTATATTATGATTTTTATGTGATTCTCATAAAAGTGATTCAGTTTGGGCAAATCATCAAATTTGGGATTAGTAGTACATGGTGAGATTCTGAGGTGATGAATGCTTGTAGAAGTCTAGGGTGGGGGGATGGGCTAAATAGGGATGGGCATTTAGGAGGGCACTCGTGATGGGCACTGGGTGTTATTTATATGTAAGTGATGAATCACTAAATTCTACTACTGAAACCATTCTTATACTATATGTTAACTAGGATTTACATACAATTAAAAAAAAAATATATATATATACATATATATATATATATTTAAAAAAGAATGCTTGTAGAAGTCTGAGTCTTACTGGCCTAATATTTGAGATAAAATTGGAACTTACAGGAATGAGGTAGAAGTCAAGGGAAAGGATTGGAATTCACTTTTTTTTCTTATTTCAATTTGTTTTTGGTTTAACCATAGATTATATTGGTACCTTTCGAAGCATTTTCCCAAAAAAATCAGAAAGCTTTTGACGGTTTTCTCATACTTACCTGGTATGGTGATGCTGTATGGCAGGAAGTAATAGGTGGAAGAAATTATAACTCTTAGTGATGGTTAAGTGTAATGTTTTGTACCTGAGATCATGACCTATGATATTTTCCTGAAATGTGGGCATTATTTGAAAGAATCTTTAAACAGGTGAAGAGTATCAGAAATATTGTCTAAAAGGTAAGACTTTTATATGAGGGAAAAACAAGACTCATATGAAGGAACATTTTTTACTTCATTCCCCTTACTTTTACTTATTACACCCATTCATAAGATGCTGTTACTCTTCTTTCAAAGAGGTAGCCGTTGCTTATTAATTTTCTAAGTGCAGAAAGGGAGAAAAAACTAATTGAAGCATTATCTTTAACCAGTTCTAGGAAGCATGCCTCCCAACCTTTCTTCAAGTGAGGTAGGTGAGGTGAAAGTCAGGCAAGTGTTTCCATGTGTGAAATTTAGTATTGACATTTAGTGGTTTCACATATCTTAACAATAAAAGTGCTAGAAAAATCACACAGATTATGTTAAGAACAGGACAAAAGGGAATAACCTGTAACTTATATAAAATCATGACATTTTAAATATTGTCAAGGGAATTAGAAAAGAGAAAAAAAGATTTACTAATTCTTCAGTGCTGCTGTTTGAAGGAAATTTTTGGTGTATTTAACAGCCATAACTCTTAACTGCAGTAGACATTTTACATCACTCCATCCATTCATGCTCAGAATGATATCTGAAACATATCTATGAGACTTACTAAACTTAAAGATTACATTTGAATGCTTTCCACATTACAAATGAAAATGGTACCTAGCTATAATATTTATCTTTCTCACAGTCAGGTTGATTATCGAGCAAAACTTTGGGCCTGTAATTTCTGTTTCCAAAGAAATCAGGTATGTGAATTTTTTTTAAGTGTTTTTCTGTGTTTCATTTTAGTTGAATTACTCTGAAAAAAATTAAGTAAGGTTGAATTTGTGTCTGTCTGGGTAGTCATCAATTTCTGCTGACCTGAAGGCAATAGCTTTTGTTAAGCATAATTGAACACTGAACATACGTGATTTTTCTGTTGAACGATGACTCAGTTTCATTATGTGGGTTTTTATCATTTGCTCTGGAGGGGACATAAAATTCCCATTTTTGATGTCCTCTGTAGGCAGTGAATATGTTATCCTAAGAAAACAGATATGTCGTGTATATTTCATTTGACTTCAGTTTATTCTAATTGCATAGTGTGTACATTACTGAATTTTCACTTTTTGATCTTTATAACTTTCAGGGTCCAAGTACCAATGTTGAGCATTTCTTGATTTAAAAATTTTAAAACTACTGGGGCACCTGGTGGCTGTCGATTAAATGTCCAACTCTTGATCTCAGCTCAGGTCGTGATCTCATGGTTCGTGAGTTCGAGTCCCACATCAGGCTCTGTGCTGACAGCGTGGAGCCTGCTTGGGATTCTGTCTCTCCCTCTCTCTCTGCCCCTCCCCTGCTCATGCACACACTCTCTATCTAAATAAATGTTTTTAAAACATCATCAAATTATACATTTAAAAGAGTGAATTTTATGATATATATATCTCAATAAAGCTGTTAGAAAAATTTAATCATTTCCAGTATAGCATATAGTGGTTTAGTACCTCTTAAGATATTAATAACATGCATTTATTTATTCACATATTTAATCATAATTGCAGATAATCTCATTCTTTGATACATCTCACAGTAAGTCCAGTGATAAATAGACCAATCAGTGTACTAAGTATAGGCTTGGGAATTATGAGCAGGTACCATTCAAAATTCACCTCCATGAGAGATTCAGGAGTATGTGCAACTCTTAAAGGCATTCAGAATTGAGGTCCATGTTTAATACAGTTATAGTGAAAATTCTAAGGCATCAAAAGACAATGTCAGCAGAGTAAAAATGTAGTCCACAAAATATTTGCTAATCATAAATCTTGTAAGGGATTAATATCAGGACATCCAGGGGAGGAGATAATGAGGAAATTGTTTATAAGTTCAGAGTTTCAGTTTTGCAAGATAAAAAAATTGAGTTCTTGGGAATGCAAACTGGTACAGCCACTCTGGGAAACAGTATGGAGTTTCTTCAAAAACTTAAAAATATTAGTACCCTAAGACTCAGTGATTGTATTACTAGGTATTTACCCAAAGGACACAAAAATAGTATTTCAGAGGAATACATGCACCCAGATATTTATAGCTGCATTATTTACAGTAGCCAAATTTCCAAGCAGCTTAAGTGTCCATTGACCAATGAATGGACAAAGAAATGGATATATATATATATATATATATATATATATATCATATATAATGGAATATTACTATGCCAGAAAAACAAAACAAAACAAAACAAAAACAACAACAACGGATTCTTGCTATTAGCAAAGTCAAGTGACTGAGCTAGAGGGTATGAGGCAGTGAAATAAGTCAGGGAGAAAGAGACAAATATCATGTGATTTCACTCATACGTGGAGTTTAAGAAAGAAAACCAATGAGGAAAATGACAAAAAAGAGAAAGAGGCAAATCAAAACACAGACACTTAAGTATTGATAACAAATTGATCATTACCAAGAGGGAGGTTAGTGCGGAATGTAGTAAAAAGGTGATGGGGATTAAGGAGTGAACTTGTAATGATTACTGTGTGCTGTATGGAAATGTCGAATCACTATATGATGTATATGAAATTATATTTCACTGTATGTAAACTAACTGGAAATTAAATAAAAAATAAAAAAATAAATATATGGTTTTCAGGTCTCACATTTAGGTCTTTAATACAGTTTGCTTTTATTTTTATATATCATTAAGAAATGATCCAGGTTCTTTCTTTTGCATACACCTGTTTAATTTTCTAATGGTGTAAATATATTGACCATGTAAGTGTGGGTCTCTATTCAGTTTCATTGATCTATGTAACTATGCCAATACCATGATGTTTTATATTTTTTCTTTGTAGTATACCTTGAAATCTGAAATTATGATGCCACCAGCTTTGTTCTGTTTTCTTTTTTTTCTTTTCAAAATTGCTTTCTATTTGGATTTGTTTGTGGTTCCATTCAAATACTAGGATTCTTCATTCAACTTTTGTGAAAAATGCTATTAGCATTTTGATAGGGAGTCCATTGTATCTCTATGTTCCTCTGGTAGTATATATATTTTATTAATACTAATTCTTCCCATTCATGAAGATTGTACATCTTCCCATATGTTTGTGTCATCTGTCATTATTTTGTTGTTTTTGTTTGTTTGTTTGTTTAAATGGTATTCTGTTCTCTAAAAGGAAATTTTCATTGAACACAATTTTCAGATTTTCACTTGGGCTTATCACACCCTCACAGGTTCAGGACACATGATAGTGAATGATTTTTAGAGTTAAGTTACACTGAAAAAGAAGTAATACTAGGTAGATGACAGGAAGGTACTCTCATGTGAAAATAAATATACAATTTCAGTCACTGTGTTTGTAAATCTCTGCTCTCTGATATTAAACTTCTGTCATCCATTGGAAAAAAAATTGAGTTCTGGAGGTGGATGGTGGTGATGAATACTTAAGACCACTGAACGGTACACTGAACAAAGATTAACATGGCAAAAGTTATACATGTTTTTCCACAATAAAAAACATTGGGTAAAACATCAATCTAATTGATCTAAAACATCAATTTAAAGACAAAATGCCTGTGATACAATGTCAAGCATAAAGAACAGTTTGCAAAATTGTATATACAGGATGAGCTCATCTGTGCGGAAGTAGAAAAAGTCTGGAAGGAAATATGCCTACATGTTGACTAGCTGTCTCTAGTTGGTAGGAACATAAAGAGTTTTTTCTTCCTCTTTTCTTTTTTTTCTTTTTAAGTTTATTTTTTTTAGTAATCTCTACACCCAACTTGGGGCTTGAACTCTTGATCCCAAGATCAGGAATTACGTGCTCTTCCAATTGAGCCAGCCAAGTGCTCCTTTTCCTGTTTTCTTATATTTTCTTGTATTTGCCAGGTTTTCTACAATGAACATGTATTACTTTATTGATAACAGCTAAAATAATAAACCCAAGTAAAAGAATTAGTCATCCACATAAATTTTTTTTCAGTTCCAATTACAGCTCTTTAATGCCTCATTTGCATAGGGCTCCTCTTGTTTATAAGAATTGCTGTTCTGTAGCTTCTTTTTGTTTTGTTGTTGGTTAAAACTATTTTTTAACTTTCATGGTTCATCAGATATTTTCCTGTATAAATGAAAATGTTCCTAATTTAAGTCTGTTTCCCAAATTATGACTTTTAACTTTGAAGAAAGATGGTTTTACAGTTTCCTTACATATTTCCTTACAGTTTCATTTACCATTTCTGTTTCATATGCCTGCCATCTTTTACCTTCCTTTTCTGTAGAACCGTACTCTACACATATCAACATTCTATCGCTTCTATCATTTGGATCCCTCTTCTCTGAACTCTCTCCAAGTTCTCTGTCCTCTTTGAAATGTGGAGCAAAAGGTTTGTCTTTCCAAAGTTTGAAAACAGAGGTTTGACTCTCCAAAGGGCAGTGGTGGAAGCTTCATGTTGTAAGACATCATGAAAAGAAAGATGGGGAAAATGAAGAGGAAGCTCTAGGGTGGTCCTTAGCAAGTTGCTTGAGGGTTCATTTCTATTTCCAGTGGCACTTCTCTCAAAGGCATTTTGCCTGGAGACTAGAGTCCCAGGCCAATATGTCTTGAACTACTGGTGGACAGTACATCAGTATTCAGCATTCCTGACTCCCATCTCCTGCTTAGTTCACCAGTCACTTTCCAAAGGGATTTGAAGAGAGAAACTCAGTCACACTCCTGGGATCTGGCCTTGGAGAACACAGGGGGCTGCAAGGGCACTGCCAGCTGGTAAAGCACGGCCTCCCACATAAATTATTGATGAGACAGCTGAAATCTCTGCCTTTAATTTGCAAGGCAGTGCTTAAAAAATGTTTTTTATTGGCACATTTTTTAATCATCTCAAAGTTACAACATACCCTCAAACTACATTTTAAAAAGTTACAATGGGATATAAATGTAAGGCAGGGTTTCGATTTAAAATTTTGATTTTTGTATTTTTAATTACATGGTCTGCATTCTATGCTTTCAGAATTAACTCATGGACATTACCTATTTTTTATATATGGAAAACAAGAGGTATAACATAAATATCTTTCGCCCTAATAAAACGTTGCTTTGTTTCCTTCTCTTCAGTTTCCTCCTGCTTATACAGGCATATCTGAGGTGAATCAGCCTGCTGAATTGATGCCCCAGTTTTCTACAATTGAGTATGTGATACAGGTAACTTCTCTGTTGCGTATTTAATGAATGGTGTTAAATATTGAGTTTCTCTTCATCTTCTGTGTCCCTGGACAATTTAAAACTATGAGGGCAGATGGATCCTAAACACTTGGTCATGGTGTGTGTGCACTCATTGGCATTACTTACAATCTTGATAGAAGGCTAGAAAAGGGGTCACTGGTTGTGTTCAGCACCTGTCCCCATAGCTTTCTCCAGCTCTGTTAAGGTTACTCCATCTTGTAGTCAAGCTTAAAAACTTTAGGTTCGTCCTTGAATTGTCTTTCTTGTACATTCCATATCCAATCCATGAGGAGATCCCATTGGGTCTATATTCAGAATCTATCCACAGTCCAACCACTTCTTTCTCCCCCACTTTTTTCTTGGGCCAGCCATCGCCTCTTGCTTGAATTACTGGGCAGTCTCTTAACCCTTCTCCCTAATTTCACCCTTTCCCACTTACAGTTTATTCTTAACCCAAAAGCCAGAGTAACTCTTTAAAAACATGTCATGTTGTTTCTGTGTTCAGAAACCTCCAATGGTGAAAATGACTCCCTTTTACCTTGAGTGAGAGAGAGTCTTCGAAGCTCTTTGTGGACCAGCTCTGTATTATCACTCAGACCTCAACTTGTTTTAGTGTCCTCATTTAGCCATATGGGTCTCATGACTTTCTTTGGACATGCCAGGAATGCTCCTGCCTGTGGGCCTTTGCTCTAGGCTGGAATTCTCTTTCTCCTATGTCTGTGTTGCTCCTTCCCTCTCCTCTGGGTTTTTGCTCTAATGTTACTTTCTTATCGAGGCTTCCCTGATCTCTTATGTAATACTGGAACCTGCCCCCTACCTCTACTCATGGCATCCCCCTACTCTTTCCATCCAGAAAATCAGCTCCTTAAGGTAGGCAAAGATCTTTGTTCTTTTGGTTCACTGATATATCCCAGGACCTGGAACAGTGTCTGGTACATGGAAGGCATTCAAAAATGTAGAGGGTTACCTGGGTGGCTCAGTCGGTTAAGTGTCTGACTTTGGCTCAGGTCATGATCTTACGGTTTGTGCATTCGGGCCCCGCGTTGGGCCCACTTCAGATCCTCTGTCCCCCTCTCTCTGCCCCTCCCCTACTTGTGCTCTCTTAAGAATAAAACATTTGAAAATATGTAGAATAAATCGTTGGATACAAATAGTTTTTACATTTAGTTTGTTTTAATAGAAACTGTCATTTAACGAAGTGAGTAGAAGTTAGTTAGATGTCCATATTTCCTGACAGTAAATATAGACGAGACTTGTTACTTACATACCTGATCTGCTTTGAAAAGAGCTGGTTATGTCTGTTTGTATACTGATCATCACACTGTGTTTCTTTGCGTAAAGCGAGGTGCTCCATCCCCTCTGATCTTCCTCTATGTGGTTGACACGTGCCTGGAAGAAGATGACCTTCAAGCACTCAAAGAATCCCTGCAGATGTCCCTGAGTCTCCTTCCTCCAGATGCTCTGGTGGGTTTGATCACATTTGGGAGGATGGTGCAGGTTCACGAGCTCAGCTGTGAAGGAATCTCCAAAAGTTATGTCTTCCGAGGGACCAAGGATTTAACCGCAAAGCAAATACAGGTTTGTGCCTTGTTTGTACACAAGCAGGAGCAAGGAGATTTCTTAAAAAGTAGTTGGTTATTCAATCTAGTGTTGTGGGAAATGAGTCCTTTTGGTTTTTGTAGGATATGCTGGGCCTCACCAAGCCTGCCATGCCCATGCAGCAAGCAAGACCTGGTCAACCACAGGAGCACCCTTTCGTTTCAAGCAGGTGAGCTACTAACATAGAATGTTGCACACACAGTAGTGGGCATGCAGGGCGTTCCACTGAAAGGAGGGAAGAAAAATGTTAGAACTTCTGTTTTCTTGTTTTTAGAAAAAAAAAAAAAAAAATGATTAAGCCTAACCAGTATTTAATGTTTAATGACTTGTATAACATGTTGGTATATATTTGAAACTAATAACTAAATTGTGTAGTTACACATGCATATATACACCCACATGTGTGTGTAGTAGATTTGTTCAGAATGTTTTTCCTCTTAGTGTTATATCGTCACAAAGGTTTTGAGACCACTGTACTCGAGCCTTCCCCTCCTCTTATGCATGGCTATTGTCTTTTTTTTTTTTTTTTTTTTTTTTTTTTTTCAGCGTTTATTTATTTTTGGGACAGAGAGAGACAGAGCATGAACGGGGGAGGGGCAGAGAGAGAGGGAGACACAGAATCGGAAACAGGCTCCAGGCTCTGAGCCATCAGCCCAGAGCCTGACGCGGGGCTCAAACTCACGGACTGCGAGATCGTGACCTGGCTGAAGTCGGACGCTTAACCGACTGCGCCACCCAGGCGCCCCTGTCTTTTTTGAGTCTTAAATAAAACAACAGGCTTCTGTGGGGTGTCCTCAAGCAAACCTAGGACCAGGCACTTATTTTCCTCAGCCCATTGACTGCCTAGGCTGCCTATGGCCGGCAATAGTCAGCAAACATGATAAAATTCATTGTCTGACATTCTGGGGACAGCCACTTACTGTGGTAAGAAACCAGTGCTTCTCTGTGTTTACTCTGAAGGCTCAAGAGAAACACTTGAGAATCACTTTAAAGTGGATCTTTAGGGCCACCTGGGTGGCTCAGTCAGTTGAGCATCCGACTGTCGATTTCAGCTCAGGTCATGATCTAATGGTTCATGGGATCGAGCCCCACGTTGGGCTCTGCACTGACAGCATGGAACCTGCTTGGGATTCTCTGTGTCCCTGTCTCTCTGCTTCTCCCTTGCTTGTGTGTACATAATTTCTCTCTTTCTCTCAAAATAAATAAATACACTTAAATAAAGTGGATCTTTAGAATGATGAAGGTGGTCCATGTACATGAACTGTGCATGGATTGAATTCACATTAGACCTGTCTTTAGGATTTCTTTGCTGCTTAAAATGTAATTAAAACTGATATTTAAAATCATTTGTTCCCATACTATACATACACATATATATGTATATATATATACACACACATATATATATATACACACACATATATATATACACACACACACACATATATATAAATTGCTCTGTATTCAGTTTTAAATTGTTTCCCTGGCTAAAATTGCTTTGAAGAAATAAAATTGTAAGTTTTTTCTACTGTGAGTAATTATTTTGCAGAGCTGTGACCGTGTGTCACCTAGGACTAAAAACCAGAGTACTTATTAAACCAGGATTAATGTGTCCATTGAAAATCATGCAGATTTCTGCAGCCCATTCACAAGATTGACATGAACCTCACTGATCTCCTTGGGGAGCTGCAGAGGGACCCATGGCCTGTGACTCAGGGGAAGAGACCTTTGCGATCCACTGGTGTTGCTTTGTCCATTGCTGTTGGCCTGTTGGAGGTAACTCAGAATTTACCGGGGCACCTCAAGTTGTGTTTGCTAGCCTTGTTTGAAAATCATTTGTGACCTGAGTCAACTGACTTAGAAAGCACTTCAGTTGTTATTACTATCCACAATGAAGGAGCCCCGTGATGACTTGAAAATATCAGAAGTTTGCATGAGAAACACGAGGCCATTAGGGCAATGGCAGGTGCTCACAGTGAATTAAAAAAAAGTGTATGAAGCCCTTAGGCTGGAAGACACAAGGCTGCTTCTGTGCGTTATCATCTGTGTTATTTTGTACTGTCAACAGTGTTCAGCACAGCTGATGAGAACTGTTTGGAGTATTCTTTAGAGAAATGGAAGCATACTTGGGGTAGGCGGTATGTTTCTAAAATATTGCCATTTACTGTTTTAGGGCACTTTTCCAAACACGGGAGCCAGGATTATGTTGTTTACTGGAGGTCCCCCCACCCAAGGGCCCGGCATGGTAGTTGGAGATGAACTAAAGGTTCCTATTCGTTCCTGGCATGATATTGAGAAAGATAATGCACGTTTCATGAAAAAGGCGACCAAGGTAGGTGCTCTTGAACACAGGCTGTAATTCTGGTATCCTGGTGCTGGGTCTAGGTTGCTCTGGAGTGACAGCTACTTTGCTGAGACCATGCTTTGTGGTCAGCAAGTTGATCTTGATGAGATGACCTTCCAGATATTGGCTGTTGTTAAATTATTGCCCCAGTTCTGAGTCCTTACTTAGAGTGGGTGGTCTTAAAACTGCTAAACGTGTTTTGAGATTGAAAACCGTATGTTTGATTTAATTTGGATGTCATAAAGAAAACTATCTCCATATTCCTAAGTTCAGTTACATCCCTTTGGTATAGTAAGGTATACCTAGTGAATAACGTTGCTCTTTCCTAAACATAATTTTTCTCTCTTCACAGCACTACGAGATGCTTGCCAACCGAACTGCTACAAATGGTCACTGCATTGATATTTACGCTTGTGCCCTTGATCAGACGGGACTTCTGGAGATGAAGTGTTGTGCAAATCTTACTGGGTATGTTGACAACAAATACCTGGGAAAGGCAAGTGTGTGTGTTTTAAGGAAAGAGAAGTGAGTGGTGGAACTATAGGATGTGCGTGGCTGACTTAGATAAGCTTTTAGAAAGCTCCAGGCTGTGGTATCCATGGCAAGGAGCATGACGGACACGGAGCACATGCTCAGCCTGAGGGTACATGGTGGGGCATGCTTAGAGCCTGTGTCTGTATTGTGTGAACCGGTCATGGTGTAGAGCATAGTTCTCAGAGCGTAATGGGGCCTCACCAGCAACCTTCAGGGCTCCCGGGGACTGAGTAGAAGTGCACTTCCTCAGGTCTCACCCCAGATTTCCTGAATCAGACTATGAGGCTGCAGCCCAATAGTCAGCTTTTACACGTTTACCAGGGGACTCTGGTGCACAGAAAGCCTGAGAACTGCTCATGTGCACCAATGATCTGAAGCTGGCTGCATGCTAGAATCTCCTGGGAACTTTAAAAACTACTCTTGCTTTGAGTCTTGTCCCTCATGGGGTATGACCCAGGCATCAGCATTTCTTAAACTCTCCTGGGTGTTTCTAATGTGAAGCAGGGTTTAAGAACCACGGTGTGGACCCTTAGTGCTCAAAGTGTGGCTGAGCACAGGCAGCATCAGCCTCACATGAGAGCTTGCAAGAAATGTAGTATCTTGAGCCACCTAGACCTTTTGTATCAAAACCTGCATTTGAATAAGTTTCCAGGTGATTTGCTCAGAACAGTTTGAGAAGTACTGGCATAGACCTGTGGCGTGTTTCTGAGATTCTGCATTTCTAACAAGCTCCCAGCAATGCTACTGGTCTTCACTGAGCAAAGAAGGGGCACGTAGAAGGTTGAACTCGTCACCGAAGCTGTCCCAGAGAGCAGCAGATTTGTTAGGTGACCAAGTCCCAAATGACACTGACATAGCTATACCAGTGAACCGCATTTAGTAGGATGAATTCCTACTGGTATCCTCCAAGAGCTCTTATCTTAGAACATCCATCGAAAAGCTTTACTGTGACCATCCCGAGTTTATACGCCTGTGTGTGTGTGTGTGTGCGCGCGCGCGTGTATCTCCAGTGGAGAGGGACCATCACTTCCATCAGATTCTCAGCGAGGTCCTTGATTCCTGAATGACTTGGTGTTTAGGTCGTATAACCTCTTACACAAATATGGTATCAGGGCAACATGTTAGCAGTGACATTAGTCTCAGAGGTTTTGGTTGTGGCTCAAGGTGAGCCAACCATTTGGGAGGACTTCCAGCAAAGGCAAGGTAGGTAGGCTGTGTTACAGGAATTGATCGTCTTCAGAGAAGACCATAGTGCTTAGTTTCCTTGGTGCCAGGCACACCCAGATTATATCATCTTCCATTCTGAGCATTTTCAGTTTAAAAGGGATGTACAGATGAGCTGGGGCAGTTCAAAGATGAGCAGTAAGAATGGCGGAGAGTACTCGGAACTGTGTCATAATGAGAGCGATTAAAGGATCTAGAAAAGATACCACTGAAGACAGATGGGGCATAAGATCTATATTGAACAATCGACTGCCTCTTCTGCGGAGAGGGCATCAGATTTGTTACATGTGTGACCAAAGGGGAAAACTAGAACCAGTGTTGGAAGCTGCTGGGAAATAGAATTTGAGCCAGTATGAAGACAGACCATATTAACGGTCAGCACTGTCCGTGCCTGGAATGGACTACCTGTGGAGGGTGTGGCCTCCTATGCTGGAGGAGTTCAAGTCTAATAGGGTAATAATAACCTGGCAGGGTTGGTGTGAGTCAGGATTAGGTTTGTGTGAGTGCAACAGAAGTAGACACTGGAAATAGGCAGCCAGGGCTGGGATATTAGTTTCATTATCCCTGGAGCTGAGGCCCTTCCTGTGCTGTTCCACCACCTTTCTGTGCTACCTGAGGTTTAGGATGGTAACCGGGCTCTTGCTGTGTTATAGCAGCAGGAAGGAGGAGGGGTCCAAGGAAGATATGCGTCTTCCCATGAGAAGGCCCTCCACAAATCACAAAGCCTGCCTCCAACAAACAAAGCTGAGTTACACAGCCACATGCAAGGCAGGCTGGGAAATGTAGCCTTTTTTTTTTCCCTCAGGAAACCATGGATCCCATGACTAAGGAGGGTGAGAAGAGTAGACTGTATAGGGCCAAAGAGCCATCTCTGTTCCTGGAGGGGTCAGGCACTCTGAGATAGCTGGACCAGATGATCTTGTATCCTGCCCAATTCTGAAATCCTATTGGATGATCAATGACTAGATGCATAACTTGCATCAGGTGGTGCTTATCTGCCCAAATACATGAACTGCTGAAATTTTGAATAGTATTTTCCTCTAACTTCAAGAAGGGATACATATAGGTATTCATACACTAGAGATAATTTGCATACAGGCAGAGATTCAATGTTTTGAGGTAGTGAATTAACCTGAAAAGGATTTCCTGCAGCCTGGGTATTTCCCCTGTCAGAGGAGAGTAAATGAGGGGAGCTGGATGCATTTCCTCAGGAGATGACCCATTAAACCTGTGGGTTTACCAATGAAGGGTTCTTCTGTTTTCTTCTTCTTTTGAAATAATTACGGATTCATAAGAAATTACAAAAATATTACAGAGAGGTCTGTCCATGCTCTTCCATTTAGCAACTCCAGTGGTTGTGTCTTAACTTGTGTCTTAATAGAAATATAGCACAGTATCACAACCAGGGATTGACATTGTGTGATAGAATGAACTATATCATAGAGTCTGCTTGGACTTTGAGTTTGTACAGGCACTCATTTTTGTAACATGTGGGGGTGTATAGTATGAGGTTGTATCATCTGTAGATTTGTGTGACCACCTCTGTGGGACAGATTTAGAACTGTTCTAAGGAGTCCTATCTTTGATATTTTGAAAATAGTGTCTTTCCTAAGTACAAATTGAACCTGCTGTTTCCCATTTAAGTTAGTAGTACCTTCACAGACATGAGTTTTTCTTTCTTTAAATTACTGTTTGTGAACACCGTGGAAGCATCTGAGTGGCTTTCAGTCATCCTAAATGTTCACTTTCTTCCTTCTTTCCTAGAGGCCACATGGTGATGGGAGACTCTTTCAACACCTCTCTCTTCAAGCAGACTTTCCAGAGAATTTTTACTAAAGATTTCAACGGAGATTTTCGCATGGCGTTTGGTGCTACTTTGGAAGTGAAGGTATGATAACTTTCTAAAATTTTAACGGAAGAAGAGTGTTGTTACTTATTTAGTAGTCAGATTTGTAGAAGCCTCACCTTGCTGGACACAGACATCAAAAAGTAAATTAAAAGGTTCCCGGCAAAATAGTTGAACAAGGTATATTGATTCTATTACTGTGCTTCTTGAGGGTGACCTGTATATTAATGTTTTATGCAAAGAGGTGTCTGATTCCCCTGCAGGCTCTGCTTGGTCCTGCTCTAGGACAGCAGGCCTGAGAAGTGGCGGCAGGCTGAGCACAGAGGCTGCCACGTGGTGTTGAGCACCCCCCTGGCCGTCGGTATGGGCCACCACATTCCCAAAACCATGTTTATATTTAGTGGCTGTCTGCAGACTAACCAGAGTGCTCAGAAATAGTGCAGTAGTGGGAGTTTGGGTCCTCCTTTTTCTCGTAGGGACTGAAAACCCTACACACGTCATTCTGAGTTGTTGAGAAAACATTAGAAGGGGCTGCTACGTGATACAATTGGGATTATTACTTTGAGAATTAGAGATAAACTTTAAATAATCTCAAATGTTTGAGTTTTTTTTTTCTTTTTTTTTTGAGCTGAAGAGAGGTAGACTTTAATGAATTGAGATTTAAAAATCTAAGTATGTTGGCCATGTAGTTATGTTGGAGTTCATGAATTAAGCATTTTTATTTATTTATTTACTTATTTATTTATGTTTTACATTTATTTTTGAGAGACAGAGAGAGACAGAGCACAAGCAGGGGAGGGGCAGAGAGAGAAGCAGACACAGAATCCGAAGCAGGCCCCGGGCTCCGAGCTGTCAGCACAGAGCCGGACACGGGGCTCGAACTCACAAACTGTGAGATCATGACCTGAGCTGAAGTCAGATGCTCAACCAACTAAGCCACCCAGGTGCCCCTTGAATTAAGCATTTTTAAAGCAACATACAACAGTATATCCACTGATCAGAGATTATAAATAATTACAGCTAAGTACTTGGGATTGGAAAGAAATGTATTTTTGGCAGAATTATTTTCTTCTATGTGTACAATAATTTCAAAGGTGAAAAAGTTCAAAATGCTGCATCATCTTTGGAACAAAGTTAATGCAGTTTCTAAAGGAGGATTTTATTAGTTTTTATCCGATTACAGTGGTCACGGAAAAGTTTGTATGAGAATAATCCACGTAGGATTTCTTCTCACTGGAATGATAATGCTGCCATATTTTTCCTGTAAGTTTTAGCTGTGTCTTTCATGAGAGGATGGCTCTCAATGAATTTTAACTTTATGTTGTCTTGTATTTCCATTTTAGACCTCTCGAGAGCTGAAAGTTGCAGGAGCCATTGGTCCTTGTGTGTCTCTGAATGTGAAAGGACCATGTGTGTCAGAAAATGTAAGGAAAACTCCATTGTTCTCACCCCCTCTGCCCCAGGATTTAATTCATTAGAAATGTCAGTGGGGTGACCTTATGTCACTTGTTGGGATGTGTCTGTGTCTGTGGTGAGGGGAGAAGGGCCAACTCTTTACTGATGACCACAACTCTGAGAGGTGGTGTCTTTTCTGTCTGTCCTTCCATCTATCTAAAGGGTCAGAGAGGAGAAAACTGAGGCTCGAGAGGTCAAGTATCTTGTTCTCTGGGTCAGAACTGATATGGAGGGGCTAGAGCCTAGGTTCCCCTAACCCCACTGTCCTTGTTTGGGTCTCTGTGACAATGAGCCACAAGGTATTCTGTGTAGCAAGGCAGGCATTCAGCTGAAGCCTTCAGGGGTAAAGCTTTGTGTGTTGCCTTAGAGGTGATACCTTTATCTCACTTCTCAGAGACCATTTTGAGTTGGTTGGGCATGAATGACACTGTTGTACATGCAGACAGGTATGTTCTTTGGGTAACACATTTTGAGAATATGTGAACAAAGTTAAGTTAACCCACTAGATGGTGAGGTGGCTTTGCTGGTGGCTCACTTCCTCTGCTTATACTTTAGCTGCTAGGAGACAGACCATTGGGTGCAGTGAGGCCCCTCCAGAGTGGTTCTGGGCTGGGATTGTCATAGTTACGTCCTTCCTTCGATGTCCTCTTCAATGAGGACACGCTGGACTCTGTAGAGCCAGATGTGGATACAAGTGTGCACATTTACCCCTGCCATCTTATGGCCTGGACAAGGTACTTAATCACTCTGGGATTTAACGTCTTTATCTAGGAAGTGGAGATAGTAATAGTACCTGTTGGGAGGGCTAAATGAGTAAGTTCAGGTCAAACGTGCAGAACAGCCCCTGGCACAATGGAAGCCCACATAGATTTCATCTTTCTCATCCTCATTTTTTTTTTTTTTAACATTTATTTTTGAGAGAGAGAGACAGAGCGTGAGCAGGGGAGGGGCAGAGACAGAGGGAGACACAGAATCCAAAGCAGGTTCTAGGCTCTGAGCTGTCAGCATGGAGCCCGGTGCAGGACTTGAACCCACAAATGGCAAGATCATGACCTGAGCCAAAGTCTGATGCTTAACCGACTGAGCCACCCAGGCGCCCCTTACATCCTCACTTTTGTCTTCATCAGCAGTGAATATTCACTTAGTGACTACTTTGGTTTTAGTTTTTTTTTTTTGTTTTTTGTTTCAAGTTTTCACTTAAATTCTAGTTAGTTAACATACAATGCACTATTGGTTTCAAGAGTAGAATTTAATGATTCATCACTTAACACACAACACTCGGTGTTCATCACAGCAAGTGCCCTCCTTAATGCCCATCGCCCATTTAGTCCATCCCCTGCCCACTTCCCTCCATTAACCTTCAGTTTGTTTTCTAAATTCCACCAATGAGTGAAATCATATGGTATTTGTCTTTCTCTGACAGACTTATTTTCGCTTAATATAATGCTTAGTGACTACTTTGGTTAATGTTTTTTTGAAGTTGCCAGAGGCAAGGTGATTTGAGAGAATATTCCTGTAATCCCCTGGGCGAGGCAGGTTGCTGCCCTAAAGCCCATCTGAGGAGTCACTCATTATCCCAGTGTATGAAAGGACTTATACCCCTAATTCCTGGGAGGGCTTTGGAAGGTTACCCTGTTCCAAAATATTTTCCATAGACTTAAAATCTCCTTAGAAGATAATTTTATGAATCAGTGCAAGCTGATTAGCTGTTCTAGGAACCGGTAGGAATTCAACGATGAGGTTTTGGGAGGGGGTTGGAGGATGCAAAGAGGGGGAGATAGAATTCAACATACAGAGAAGCTTAGGGAAGTGGGAAAGAGTCCTGTATACCCACCATTTAGAGTCAGTAATTGTTAACATTTTGTCTTAATTCTGTCCTCTATTTTTGCAATATTTGCTTTGTCTATCTGATTATTATCTATTGGCCGTATTTACTTTATCATACTTCTTCAGAACCTTTAAAAACAAGTTGCAGGTGTCATGACACTTAGTCTTTTAGTGTGTATCTTCTAAAATTAAGGATGTTCTCCTACCATGACATATCAAACCTAAGATAAGAAAATGATAATTTGCTAATATCAGCTGTATTTAGTCATATTCTTTCCCTGATTTTTCCCTAAATGCCCTTCATAGCTGTTTCTTCCACACGCTAACCAGTATTGCATCTAGCATTATGTATCCTTAGTCTTTTTTTTTTTTAAAAATTTTTCAACATTTATTTATTTTTGCGACAGAGAGAGGCAGAGCATGAACGGGGGAGGGGCAGAGAGAGAGGGAGACACAGAATCGGAAACAGGCTCCAGGCTCTGAGCCATCAGCCCAGAGCCCGACGCGGGGCTCGAACTCCCGGACCGCGAGATCGTGACCTGGCTGAAGTCGGACGCTTAACCGACTGCGCCACCCAGGCGCCCCCCTTAGTCTTTTTAAATCTGGAAGGTCTTCTGTTCTTTGGGGTTTTTTGCTTGTTTTGTTTGATGACATCGATTTGTTGAAGATACAGTGCCAAGTGCCCATCTCTTCTGCAATAGAGTACCACACATTCTCAGTGTATTTGATTGTTTCCTTGTGGTGGCCGTGAACTGGTTTCTGTCCTCTCTGTATTTTCTGTAAAGTGAAAGTTAGATTAGTGATTTGATTCAGGTTAGACCATTTTGTCCACCACAGTTCCTGGGTAATCTTATACCTCGTGTGTTTCTTCAAGAACCACTTCTGTCTGGTCTTCTGTGTTAGTGGTGCTGAGTTAGACAGTGTGGTGAAGGTGATGACTGCCCCACATCTTTCTGTTATAAGGGCACATTTCCTTTTAGTCGTTAGCAGTAAATCTGTTGAACGAGATTGGGGCAAAATGTGAATATCTTGCTTGCCAACAGCCTTTTACCTAATGGTTTTAACATCCATTGATTATCCTTACTTGAATCATTATGTTTCATTGGAGATTATCAAATGGTGATTTCCTAATTTTATCTTCATACTTACTCTGGTAAATGCAAGGTAAATGCTTACATACGGAATTTGTGTATTAGTGAGAAAATGTACTTCTGGGGCTCTGGAGGGTTTGTGGCCCACTCAGGCATTGGTGCTGATAGAAGAGGGAAGATTTTCTTTTTGTCTACCCATCTTGATTTCATTGGCTTGGGCCCTGCAAACAAGACTGGCAAAGGACAGGTTTCATAATAGAATAAATTAACGCACACATTACACGTAAACACATTGCATGTATGTACTCAGTAGGGAGTAAATCAAAGGGATGGTTAGAACTTGGGATTATGTGGTATCTTAACAAAAGAACAGTAAATCTGTAGAAAAGTGACAAGATACAGGAAAGGCACTTTGAGCCTCTAGGGCTGGCACAGTGTGGAAGGTAGATAGATGGAGGGAGCTAATGGAAGAGAAGGAGGGTTGGTCTTAGCATGTTTCTTGTATAGATTCGTCTTATGCCCTCTCTGGGCTGATAAGCATCTAGAGTTGTCTTTGATGATTGAGAATCATCCTGCCCTTAGTAGGTGGAGGGCAGAGAGTTTTCGTACGTCTGTTTTTTCAAACTACCTTCCACTTAAAATAATCCTTATGTCAGAGTGGTGTATTTTGCAGTGGCATACTCTGAATCCCTTGAATTGAAACTTTAAGTTTCACATATTAAAACTTGAATTGTGGTATGGGAAGATTCGGGAGAAAGGATTAGCAAGCCAAGAAAGGGAGGCATGCAATCTTCTTTTGCTTCTTCGCCATATTCCCTCGGTGTGGCCCTTCACTTTCCAACAGATGTTCCCTGCTTCTATTAGAAAAGGCCACTAAAAGGGAAGGTGACATGTACAAATCCATCCATCTCACCAGCTTGCTTTGGAAATACTGATGAAACAGAGCCCTCTCTTCTCTCTACCTTAGAGCTGCTCTGTGATTTCACCTAAGAATGTTCCCTTCACCCTCTGACCGTCTCCTTCCTGAGATTGCTGGTTCTTTGGCCAGGTACAAAGGCTCCTGGCATAGCTTTGTAGAGGCCACAGTGGTATCAGCTCTATTTAACCTGACAGTGTACAATTTGGGTGCAGTGTACAATTCAGAGTCATACAAAAGAAATATGACCCTCTCGATGCATGCTCATGTTACTTCCTAAAAAGCACAGTATTCTGGGGGTGCCTGGGTGGCTCACATGGTTAAGTGTCCAACTCTTGATTTTGGCTCAGGTCATGAGGGATCAAGCCCCACATCAGGCTCTGTACCAACAGCACAGAGCCTGCTTGGGATTCTCTCTCTTCCTCTCTCTCTGCCCCTCTCCTGCTTGTTCTCTCTCTGTCATAAATAAACTTAAAAAAAAAACAACACTTGGCATCTACTATTCTGCATTTTTTTTTTTCAACGTTTATTTATTTTTGGGACAGAGAGAGACAGAGCATGAACGGGGGAGGGGCAGAGAGAGAGGGAGACACAGAATCGGAAACAGGCTTCAGGCTCCGAGCCATCAGCCCAGAGCCTGACGCGGGGCTCGAACTCACGGACCGCGAGATCGTGACCTGGCTGAAGGCGGACGCTTAACCGACTGCGCCACCCAGGCGCCCCTACTATTCTGCATTTTGATGAAGTATGTTAAAACGTATAATATTTACTGAATGATAAGAATGTATGTTGCAGAATCTAGTGATCTTGGTTGACAATTCTAGGTATTTTTGACACCTGCAGCCTTTTCTTGTAGATGTCCTGCTTAAAACAGCAACACTCTTCACATTTCAGTGAACTTCATTTATCATTGGGAGTCCTTCAGCTAGTCAATAAAAAGCAGGCTTCATACCACTAAAATCTAAATTCTCTTACAAGGATTTACATGTAGTTTTTGCATAAAGGAACTGGATTCAAAATTAATAATTAATAGTTAATATCCTGTAACTATTTCTTGTTCTAATAATAATGGTGAAACTTTCAAGCTAACTTTCACAATAATTCTAACCGTGGCTTCTTTCAGCTAACTTCAGTGTTACATACTCTGTGTGTGTGTGTGTGTGTGTGTGTGTGTGTGTGTGTGTGTGTGTAGAGGGAAAAAGAGCTATCTTGGTGATATAATGGAAATTGGTCCAAGTTCTAATATAAAAAGCTTAATTTTAGAGGCCTGTAATAAATCTTAAACCTTATGCTGGCTTATAATTGTACTTTTTTTTAGTTAAATTTAAATTTTCATTTGGAATGAAATCTTTTAAGTAGCCTACCATTCTTAGAGTCAGTATTTTTCATCAGCAGTTAACCACAGGAGTAGCTTTTTGTTTTTATTTTTAATTCCTCTTCTTACCCCAGGAGCTTGGTGTTGGTGGCACAAGTCAGTGGAAAATCTGTGGCATGGATCCCACATCTACACTTGGCATCTACTTTGAAGTAGTCAATCAAGTGAGTTGGATTTCTTTATGAGTATTCATGTCTCTTGGTGTTGTGTTTTCTGGTTTATTGATTTATTTTTAAGTGTTTATTTATTTTGAGAGAGTATGTGGGGCGGGGAGGGGCAGAGAGAGAGGAATCCCAAGCATGCTCTGCACTGTCAGCACAGAGCCCAACACGGGGCTTGATCTCACCAACTGTGAGATCATGACCTAAGCTGTAATTGAGTTGGACACTTAGCTGACTGAGCCACCTAGGAATCCCTGTGTGTTCTGATTTATTACAGACTGGTGGCCTCTAGCTTCTTTCTCTGAAGACTGATGTTTCTTTGGGCTTGTGTTTGCCTGATGTCTGTCTGGCACGACCCTTTTTTTCCTTTCAGGGTTTGGTCAGAGTCAGACAGCAGATTGCTTTCATCACTTAAATTGTTGAACTGGCTTTTACCAGCCATCATAATGTTGGTGAATTTTTGAGTGTGTCAGTTTTTCCCCATTATTTTATTTAGAAAAATTCAAATGTACAGAAAAATGAAAAGAATTGCTGAGTGAATACCTGTACAATTACAGGTATCCTCACCTACCACTTAGATTCTATAGTTCTATAGTTTGCGTTTTACTTTATTTTACTTTGCTTTAAGACAAATTCCTGTCGTGTCTTTCATCCCTAAACACTTCAGCATGCATATCAGTAACTTGAGTTTAATATTTACTTGAATTTGGTTGGGTTTTTTTTTGTTTTTTTGTTTTTTTGAGGTAAAAGCTGTGTACAGTGACATGCCCAGATTTTAAATGTACCATTCAGAGTGCATCGAGAACCTTACTGTCACCACTGTGTTAGTTGTTTTAGGAAGAGCACAGTGGGCTCTGTGACCATGTGTGTTTGAGTCATGCCTGTAACAGTAACCAGGTGTGTGGCCTATCATCTGCAGCACAACGCCCCGATCCCCCAGGGAGGCAGAGGCGCCATCCAGTTTGTCACTCAGTATCAACACTCCAGCACCCAGAGGCGCATCCGCGTGACCACCATTGCCCGAAAGTGAGCATCCCGGTTTCCTTTCTGTGGAACCACCAGTGCTTTTCTTTTGAAGAGATCATTTAACATCTGTTAGTTTATCTTAATAGTTCCATTGAATGGTTCTCACCAGTCTCACAGACTGATTTGATTAGAGAAGGAGGAGGAGGAAGAGATATTGCGGACTAACCTAGTTAGGCCTGCAGACACTTGCCTAGAAGAATCCTCTTTAAGTAGGAATAAATTAATTAAAAATTAATTTTCATTACCACCAGATAAGTTACCCGTAAATACATCCTCCTTGTAAAAGATTCAAGCAGCTCATAATTGTATAAAGAATGGGTCTCTGCCCACTCTCCCCAGAGGTGAAATGCTATTACTACACCGGTATTTATCTTCACAGTCCCGTTTCTGTGCAGTTGTGTCGTATGTGTGTATTATATGCACAGATGGCTTCTTATATTAGTATACTTACAAACTTTTCTCAATAATGTATCAAGGACGTCTTCCACGTCAACACATATGAGCTCCTCACTGGTTGTAATGGCTGCACAGCATTGCATGGTTTGAATGGGATGTACCACTCCTCTCTTCAAGGAATTTCAGGTCCTACCTTCCTTCCAACAGTGCTGCATTCATGGGTTTAGGTCTTTGTGTATATGAGTATTTCTTTCCAGCCCCTTCATAGAAGTAGAATTTTGTATCCTGTAAAACTGTTCTAAGAAGTTAATTTGTATTCTCCCTAATACTGTAAGGAGAGTCTTGTCTTCTCATTAATAATTAATATTATTGATCTCTAACATGCTAATATAGAGCAGTTTGCCACTTTTATATGTATTTTAAAATACATATTTATTAATTTTTCACATGTTTATTAATGGGTTGAGCACTTTTGATGTTTATTGGCCATATATATTTCTTCTGTGATAGCCTTTGCCCATTTTGTAAAACCTGTTTCTTTTTCTTGTTCATTAATTTACACAGGGACTCTGTGTATTCTGGATATGATTATTGTTTGTTGTTCATATCTGTTCCTGGTCTGTCTATTGTCTTTCAGTTTTGTTAATAATGTCTTTATTTGTTTAGAAAACTTTTGTATACATGCTAATTCTTTCTACTATGGGTATGATGCTGGAAAGTCATCTTGTATATTTGTAAACATATAGATTTTTGCAAGATTGACCTAGAGTAAGGAATTGGAGTCTTAGGCACCTTTTGGGTATCTACTTTCATGATAACTTATGGCACATTGGGAAGTTCTCCGTAATTTTTCCTCTGCACTTACATCCTTCAGAGATCACATGAGGGCAAATGAGAATGTATGTAAAACTCCTGTGATTCCTTACTGAGTTCTAATCTATGTTGCCTTAGATGAAGTAACAGGACTTAGGTTTCTTTATCTTAATGGAAAGCTGGCTTTTTGGTCTCTCCTGAATATAAGCATGGCACTAATTCTGGAATTGTCAGTTGGGCAGATGCACAAAGCCAGCTCAGGCACATAGAAGCAGCATTTGACCAGGAGGCTGCAGCAGTCTTGATGGCTCGGCTGGGGGTGTTCCGTGCAGAGTCAGAGGAAGGGCCTGATGTGCTCCGGTGGCTAGACCGACAGCTCATTCGACTGGTAAGTTGGGCACTGTGGCACCAGGTTCAGTCTTAGTCTCTGCTCTACATTGAGAAAAGAAAGCTGATGCTTAAACCTGTCATTTCATACAGTTAGTCAACAAGAATTTTCTGTTGCTTACCTTAAGCCAAACACATTTACAAGTACCTTTTCCCCTCAAGGGCTTACATTATAGTTGGGAAGGAATGCATGCACAGGACATTTGGCGAAAGATGCAGATCTGTGTACCCAAAGAGTTGATTCAGATGAGTCCCTGTGGAAGCTGTGGTTCTATTTTTTCCCTCCAGGTGTGGGTGATATTTTTCAGCAGTAGGTGTCTGTGGCCCATTGAATGTAGAGATGCCTCATGTGTTGTTCTGGGTCTAATCAGGATAAATCACACAGTAATTTAAGCAGGGAAAGTTTTACTTAAAAATTACTGTCACAGGGCACCTGGGTAGCTCAGTCAGTTGAGTGTCCAATCCTTGATTTTGGCTGAGGTCATGATCTCAGGGTTGTGAGACTGATTCCCACATCGGGCTCCACACAGCACATGGAGCCTGTTTGAGAGTCTCTGTCTCCCTCTCTCTCTGCCCTTCCCCTGCTCATGCATATGCACACTCACTCTCTCTCTTTAAAAAAAAAAAAAGATTGGGGCACCTGGGTGGCTCAGTTTGTTAAGTGATGTACTCTTGATTTCAGCTCAGGTCATGATCTCATGGTTCATGGGTTCAAGCCCCACATCGGGCTCTTTGCTGACAGCGCAGAGCCTGCTTGGGATTCTCTCTCTTCCTCTCTCTCTGCCCCTCCCCTGCTCTCTCTCTCTCTCTCTTTCTCTCTGTCTCTCTCAAAATAAGTAAATAAAACTTAAATGAGTTTCATTGATGAGCAAACAATATAAGAAAATTTAAAAAAGACTCACGACAGAGGCTTTGAATAATGAGGGATTGGCTAGTAGTAAGAAGCAAAGAGAAGTCTAAAGAATATAGGAAGAGCAAATGTGTAGCAGCCATTACTTCTAGGCTCAGGTAGATCCCCCAAGGAAGGACCCTCTACTTCCCAGGGCTGATCTAGGTGGGAGGGCACAGCCTTGGCTCACTGAGTCTCTCTTGGCAAGGAAGTTGCCCTAGTGTCATGGCAGAGGACCTTGACAGAAATTCACCCTCTGGAATTGGATGATGAAAGTCTACCCTTGGGGTGCCAAGGAAAACTCTTCATAAGGAAGTGTCTCATCAGAGGCACACAGGGTATACAGAGGTAGCTGCTGGCTCCAGGAGCTCAGCACTGGGGAAGCCACAGGCACTCCTTCTGAGTGAGCATCCTGGAACGCTGAAACATCCTTGCCTCCAGCACACTCTACTGACAGCTTAACATCATGACAACTGGCACAGGAAAAATATTCAAAGGGCCCAAGCCCTTTTCACAACAGGCAAGAGTAAATTTGGAGCTACAAAGCAGTAAATCGGTAATTGACATAGGCTTACTGTTATGGAAATTCACAGCACGGATTCATGATCAAACACCTATTTAACTTTATTCAGGTGTGTGTGTGCCCTTGCTGTCCCATGGAACCATTTTTTCAGGGAATGTCAACATTTGAAACAATTTGAAAATTGAGCAGAAGGTCCGGGTAGTTGGCAAAGTGAGCCTTGGGGAAAGGGGAAAGTGAGCTTTGAATCAGGTTTTCTTAAAACGAGCAGGGTAACAGATGAGAAGTCAGGGCCAAGCATGGACAAGCCTGTGGGACATAGCTGTGCATTTCAGCTTTTGCTGGGGACCTGGAGAGACCTCATGAGGCCAGGTTGTACGATGGGGAAAAGCAGTGAAAGTGCTGCTTAATTGTAGAATGCTTCATTTTATTTATGATTTTTTTTAATATATATTTTTTTACTTTAGAGAGTGAGCAGGGGAGAGGAGCAAAGGGGGAAAGAGAGAGAGAGAGAGAGAGAGAGAGAATATATCTATATCTTAAGCAGGCTCCACGCTTAGCACAGAGCCCAGTGCAGGGCTTGATCTCACAATCCTGGGATTGCGACCTGAGCCAAAATCGAGAGTTGGATGCTCAACCAACTGAGCTACCCAAGCACCTCTATGAGTTTATTTTAATTTTTATTATTGAAGTGTGGTTGACATACAATGTAATTTTGGGTTCAGGTGCACTACATAGTGATTCACCAATTCTGTTGGATGCCTTGATTTTAAAGTGAAGTCACTGCCTTAATGTTGTGGGTAGATTCCTAAGCAGGGGAGTGCCGTGAGCATGATGCTTGTGTTTACATCTACCATTACCATATGAGATAAACTACAGGGTGAAAGGCTGCTGTTACGGAGACCAGTGGAGGATTCTGGAGGTTCAAGGGAGCTGTACTAGGGTGTGGTAGGACAGTTAGAGGGTAGGGAAAGTTTGGAATCAGGATGTATGTCGAAAGAAAAATTGATAAAATATGGTCACACTATTTATGGAATCAAAAACCAAAAAATCGACATTGACTTAGGTTTCAAGTGTGGGTGACTGTAAGGATGAGGGAGGGGTAGAAGGGGTGGAAAAAAATTTTTTTAATGTTTACATTTATTTTTGAGATAGAGACAGCACTAGCAGAGGAGGGGCAGAGAGAGAGAGAGGGAGACACAGAATCTGAAGCAGGCTCTAGGCTCTGAGCTGTCAGTAGAGAGCCTGATGCGTGGCTCGAACTCATCAACCTTGAGATCATGACCTGAGCCAAAGTCAGACACTCAACTGACTGAGCCACCCAAGCGCCCCCCCAAATTTTTTTTAGTGTACTAAATAGTTCAATTGATTTTACACATGAACTTGTGAAAATATGTCCGAGGGAAGCCATCCTGCATTTGGGTGCCCCTAACAGGCAGCACTAGATGTGGGGGTGGATTTAGATGACATCAGTCTGTTACTTATAGCTGAAGTAGTGAGGATGGGAGCAAGGGCCAAGGACTAGCCTCCAAGGAACCCACAGTTAGGAGGTAGGGAGATGAGGGGCCATGGAACAAGCCAGAGAAGGATCAGTTGGGGAGAATGAGAAATAAGAAAGTGCTGTGTTAGCAACTGGAGGAGAATTTCACGAGGTTTGGATGAGCCACTTGGCCTGTGCTACTGGGGAGTCCAGGAAGGTGAGAGCCGTACAAGGTCATCAGACTTGGTAGGAGAGGTAACTGTCAGAGATAATCTTTCCTTCAGTGGCGGAAGGTCTAGTTCTCTAGTGGCCAGAAGAGAGGTGCAAAACAAAGAGGAAATAAAGGCTGGAAGAGAAAATATTGTTCAGAAATTTGCCTTTGAAAAGAGGAAGAAAATTGAGGTGTAGAGTGATGCAACATCAAAGCTTATCTATTATTGCCAGTTTTTGGTGCACTTTGGGTTTTTTCCTATGGGAGAGGGCCTGAGAGAGTGCCTCGAGCCTCTGACCGGTCGGGTGATCCTCTACCAGCATTGCTTGGGAGCCCCGGGAGCTGGTGAGAAATGCAGGGCGTCTCCACATCTGCCGAATCAGAATCTGTGTTTAACAACACCCTGTTGCTGGGTTGGCCCGACCATGCTTGGGAAGTGCTGGTCTGGGACTCTAAGTCAGAATTGAAATTGGAACATAGCTGTTCTACTGCAGGCATTTTTCCAGGTGACACTAACTTGGCTTTTCCCTCTCTCTCTTTTTTTCCTTTTTGCTGTTCCTTTCAACAGTGTCAGAAATTTGGACAGTATAACAAAGAAGACCCCACTTCTTTTAGGTTATCAGATTCCTTCTCTCTGTATCCTCAGGTGAGTAATAGGTATTTTTTAAGTAACTGTAGAAGAATAAATTGTGATCGAAATAAAATGCGCTGCAAAAATTTTTTTTTTTTTACTCAGGCTCCGCACTGAGATTCTCTTTCTCTCTCCTCCAGTTGTGTGTGTGCTCGCTCACTCGCGCTCTCTCTCTCTCAAAAAAAAATTTTTTTTTTGGAAATAAGAAGACTCACTGCTCTCAGGCTAAAGTGAAGACTCGGTGTGTTTTGAGACTGTGTCTATAGGTGATGAAGGTTATTCTGTTCAGTTCTCTGTGTCTGTGTGAGACCGTGTCTCAACCCTACGGAAGACAAGATGACATGCAGGAAGAAGAGATGTATGTAAACCTCCATGGAAAGGCAAAACAGGGTCGTTGCTGAAGGCCACAACAAAACCTTTTAATTTGAAACAGTGCTGGGTAGACAGCTTTCTCAGCTTTCTCAGCAGCAAATCAAGAAAATGCAGCACATGTGAAGACGAGTATAACAAAATGGGACCAGAAATAATGACAAATATTTAATGATAAGTCTGTAGTGACTCCGCTACGTCATACCCGGGAAACAGCAGTAATAACAGCTCCTGTAAATAACTGCACTGTGCCCGAACCAGGCACTTGGGAGCTGTTGGACAGGGAAAGGAGGGAGAGAAGTGGGCAGAGCTCGAAGCCGCTGTCAGGGATCTGTGTATTTACCCTTTCTGAACCCCCATCCTCATCTGTAAATGAGGAAACTAGAGCTTGGCCCTGTAGGTGCTGTGAGGATGCTAGGCCAAGGTGGATGGAGTGTTGACCTCAGGGCCAGGTGCTCGCTAAGTGCTTGTTGGTGGGTGTGAGCCCGCTCCACAGCTGGGGCCCAGGACTCTCAGGTGGCCTCTTTGCAGTGCAGCTTTCCCTGAACCAGAAGCAATCCCAACCCTTCCCTTCCCTTCCCTTCCCTTCCCTTCCCTTCC